TAATAACGGCAACTTATAGGTGAATTGCATTTGCAGAACTTTGGGGACTACAACATGTGGTTAGCAGCTGAGAATGGAATGTTTCTAAGATCAACTAAAGGAGAATGGATGACGACAATGCCAGAACACTTGAATATGGAATGGGTCGACAGTGTAAAAGTAAAGAGAATTTTACTTATATCATCTCATAATCCTTTTTTTTTCTTTTATATGTAAATTGCTTCAAAAAAATTTCACAACTATTTCAGCATGTTTTCGAGTATTTCACTGAACGTACCCCAAGATCACATTTTGAGCGTCGCGAGACCTCACTAGTATGGAACTACAAGTATGCGGGTAATAATTTCATTGCTAATTCGGTATTTATATTTTATACCCTTTATCTCCTACTTATTATTTATTCTCCACTCGTTTTTTCATTTTTCCTTGTTCTGCTTCTTGTATAAGACGTTGAATTCGGAAGATTACAAGCTAGAGACATGCTGCAACATCTCTGGACTGGTCCGATTTCTAATTCTTCAGTTGATGTTGTCCAAGGAAGCCGCTCAGTCGAGGTTCGAGCTGTCGGTGTCAGTAAGGTATAATAGCTACAGCTCTTGAATTTCTCAATGTTTTAAAATATTCAGTTTTTTTATCGAATCTCTTGTTATCTTATTTACTATTATCTTCTCTATGCATTGTTTGCCTTTGTGTCCAGGGAGCGGGTATTGACCGTATATTGGGAGAGATTGTTCATAGTAAAGCCATCTGTACACCAATAGATTATGTCTTGTGCATAGGTCACTTCCTAGGAAAGGTATATACTTTTTCTCTTCACGTTTCAAAATTTTAATCTACTATAAATGTACAAACAATTTAGAACAATACTATCAAATTTATTATCATGGTAGTGAAGCTAAATTTTCCTCATGGCAGATACTGAAGTTTACTTGTATTTTCCTAAACCTTTCTGAATTTGCTTTAGGACGAGGATGTGTACACGTTTTTCGAACCAGAGCTTCCACCTGATAACTTGGGTTTATCGAGAAGTAAATTGACCGATGCAATTAAGCTCTCGGTTGATAAAAGGCAGTCCACAAAGCTTCCTTCCGGAAGAACAAACTCAAAGGCTTATCAGACAAAGAGCCATCAGAATCACTGTCCAAACTCGGAAAAAAAATCGACAACTAGTAATGGCAAGCGTTCATCGAGCGAAAATACTTCTTGGAATGTACTCGATTTGAAAAAGGAGAATTATTTTTCGTGCGCTGTTGGCCGGACTCGTACGAATGCACGGTATCTTCTCAACAGTTCGGATGATGTGGTTATGTTTCTCAAGGAACTGACTCAAGCAGCCTTCACAAACTAGTCTTTCATCATATCGAGCTTGTAGTTGTAATGCTTCTTCAGCACATGAAATTTCTAGACGTTCAAGCTATGGGAACCTTTGTAATCATAGAAGCTAAATATCTGTTGAATTTATTCTCTAAAGTGCACTTATGATGGATTAGTAAATGGCATGTGGGATGGACGTGATCCATGATTTATATATTTTGGTGATTTCAATTTTTTTTTTATTTATATGGTTTCTTTGATTTTTTGTATTTTTATTATTTTTAATGAATCAAGCAGAAGAATTACATTATTATATAAAGAAATCTTTTAAATGTTGTATTGAAAGTTGAAATATAATTTTGAATAATGATAAGATTTCGAATCCAACTCATTGTTACGCAACCAAGACCTTAGCTTAGCCTGCTCCTCCAGACTGAAATTGATCCATTCGGAATCCTGATCGATACGCCCCTAAGGCTCCGTTTGGCCATCGTTACCGAAATTGGAAGTAGCTCCATAAACCTTGTCCGTGCTGACGTGGACGAATCTTTTGATGATGTGGTGGCCGGTCCAAGAGGACATGTGTGCCGTAAATGTTGTTTTTGGTGAATTCGAAGGTGTTGATAAACGAGTTGTCGACATGTGTCTGTGCTGCAAAGTAAAACACGTGAGCAAATATTAATGAGATTTATGGAAAAGCTCACTTTTCACCACCAAGCAATGAATACCCGCAAAAGTAATATATGGAGGAAATTCTATTATAGGACTTAATAGTGTCACAGTAAGGTTTGAATTTTTAATTTTTTTTATTTGAGGGTTACAATTTTAAAGTATTGTTTATATAAGGTCTACTTTTACATTCTACTTTTCAATTTAAGACTCCAAATCATTTTGTATTTTGATATAATTATGTAAACCACACTACTCTTTTTTAAAAAAAATAAACAAATTATTTTTTAAATAATTAGAAATATTTTTAGTAAAATTAATTTAATTAAAGATAATTAATTCAAATAAGAAATATTTTTAGTAAAATACTTTAATAGGAAAATTAATTCATTTAAGCAAAATTTATTTTGCATAAATGTAACTAATTTGTATTAATTTTCTTACGAAGCTCGTTTTACAAATATATTTAATACTTTTATTATAGGCATTAATTTTATATATTCTTAACTCTTTAAAAAATATGAATTTTATTCATAAATAATATTTTCTATAAGTTTATTTAAAAAAGTAAAAATTTTATTTTTTTTGAATAGCTTATATTTTAATGTTATCACATATTTTGTTTAAAATTAAGTTAAAAATCATTTTTTAAATCTTTAAAATAAATTTCATTAAGCTTTTGCATAGATGTAAAATAATTTATTTGTTTTTTTTCTAAAAAGAGTATTGTGGTTTACATAATTCTATCAAAAATACAAAGTGATCTGGAGTCTTAAATTGAAAAGTAGAATGTAAAAGTAGGCCTTATATTGACAATAACTTAAAATTAAAATCCTCAAATGAAAAAGTTGAAAATTCAAGCCTTATTGTGACACAATAACAAAAAGTCAAGCCCTACAATGAAATTTTCCCCGATATATGCATCGCCCGGCGCACATGCTAACTTTATCTATCTATAAATATTTTTCATGTGAATTTATATACTACGTAATTAATTTTATATGGAATGCACTGAAAGTTTAAATATAAATTTTAAATAATGACAATATTTGAAAATTAGGATAAAAGGAGAGAAAATTTTGGTTTACAAATGTTTAATTATGTAAGTTATTCTTATTTGTTCGAAATTTTTAGTCTAGCGTAACTCAAATTTTAAATTCTTTAATTATTCAAGTTTCCCGACTTACGCTAGATTAATCATGGACCCTAAGCCCTGACCCTTCAGTGACTCATGGAGGTAAATCACAGGATGTGCCCGAGTGAGCCCCCAAGTTCTAGACTGCTTATAATTCTGGCCTCAAGAAAATTCTCCTCACTGAAGTGTACCTTTCGGGAATCGAACTCTCCATCTTGAGGTTGTCAGCCCACCTATGCTATAGTTCAGCACCACTCGACTATGCCTTAAGACATATTTAATTATATTGATAATATGAAGAGTTGGGTTAGATTAAATTTAATTTATAGTTCGAATTAAAAAATGTAAAAAAATATCTGATTAGTCAAAATTGAATAATTTAATTTTTGTAGTCAATCATGCCTTTAGTGGCCAATTTCACAAATTTTTACAATTAATTGCTGGGTATATTTTTCCAATTTTTGTATTTTTTATTTATTGATTATATTTAGCAATTTTGCCTAAACTAAAAATTTCGAACAAGCAAGAATAACTTACAAAATTAAACATTTGTAAACCAAAATTTTCACTCTTTTTTATCCTAATTTTCAAATATTGTCATTATTTAAAATTTATATTTAAACTTTCAGTGCATTCGACAGAAAATTAGTTACTACTTTTTGTTTTATTAATTAAAACAATAATAGAAAAAAGTAATAAATATTAAAAAAATAAAAAAAAATAAAAAAAAATTGAAATTATAAATCATGTCTCACATGTTATGTACTAATTTGATACAAATATAATTGTCGCAAGCCATGCCTGGCCCCAACTACAGTCTACAGCTAATTTTGGCCATTTGTTTCTTATCATGAAAGCGATCGAAAAGAAATCAAAGCCCAAAGGTTGCCATTGTTGGTCGAAAGAAGAGAACTCGTGCTTATATTTTGCATCCTTTGATGTGAGAGTCTGTGAACCACAACAAATTTCTAAATACCATTCAAAAAACCTTATCCACACTTTAATCACGAGCTGCTTTCAATTTCCAAACGTGGTCGTACAAAAGTCCTTTCGCAGTGTAAATGCTGTCTGGCTGGAAAATTTGCCAAGACAAACATTAAAAATCTTAACTTTTTAGCAATAAGAAGTTTGAGTGTGAATATCCTGGGTTTATACTCGGGTGTTGTAGAAATTGAATTCACTTCCTGGGCTTGGGAGGAAAAAGGGAATTTTTTTTTTATGGTTTGTTTAGCTTCAGTTCAAACACTCAACACTTGCAAAGATGCAGCTGGGGTCGCGGGTACCTCTCTCTCTCTCTCTCTCTCTCTCTCTCTCTCTCTCTCTCTCTAGTGAAGTGGGTTTTGAATATGTGATTTATGAAGTGGGTTTTGAATTTGTGATTTTATCATATTGTGAAAAAAATGGAAATGCTGTGTGAATTTTCAGTTCTTGGTGGTGTTGTATGTATGGAGCATTCGGCACATTTCTTAATTTTAAGATGACAAAAGATAGATGGATGTTTTGCCTTATGATGCCGGTTTTCTATAATCCATTGATTTGTTGAAGTTGGGAGCTTTTATGCCTATGTGAAGAAAAACAATTGGAGATCCTCTATTCTATTTAGCTTTTCACCTAGTGGCCTTATGAACTGGATGAACCCCACGCGAGTTTATGGGAAAAAAAAAATGCCAATCTTGAGTAAGTAAGCTATGGTAATGGTAAGTAACTAAGTATGGAGGTAAATCAGATGACAGGTGGAGCTAGAAAATCTCGATAGTAATAAATGCGCCGCTAATGCATCAGATACTTTCAGTTCAGCAAACTATAGAATTGATTTATGTTTTGATGATTTTCGTTAATTATCACGGACCTTTTTTTTGATGGTTTGCAGGGAATATCTTTGCCTTTGGATTATTTCTATCCCCCGTGTGAGTTTTCACTCACTCTTAAACTGTAAAACTTATCTTCATTGTGTGCCTCGTCACCCATGGCTTAATATTTGTTTAAATATATTTTTACAGGCCGACGTTCAGGAGAATAATGAGGAACGAGTCAACAGAACAGTTCTCAGGGTTGCCTTACATATACACTCTATTGAACTGCTTAATCACGGCTTGGTACGGTTTGCCTATGATATCTAAGGACAACATATTAGTCACGACTGTCAACTCAATAGGTGCCCTTTTCCAGATAATGTACATTGCCATCTTCATAAAATATGCCGAGAAGACAAAAAAGGTTTACTTGCCTTCTTTTATTGTTTTAAGAGATATCATCGTTTTTCTTTCCTCCTTTGAATTCTTGAAAAAAGTTCAGTTTTTGTGATTGTATTATTTCCTTGCAGTTGAGGATGGTAGGGTTGCTCTTGTCTGTACTCGTCGTGTTTGCAGTTATCGCCATTGGAAGCTTGCTCATAGTTGACTTTGAAATTCGCCATTTGACTATTGGGTTCCTAAGTTGTGCTTCCCTCATATCCATGTTTGCTTCACCATTGTTTATAATCGTATGTATTTCATTCTCTCTTTATTGCTTGTTGTTATTGAAATTCTTCATGTGCTTCACTTGAGCCTCGTTAAATTGGATAAATTCTCTTGATTTGCTTGGTTTAGTCGTTCGTAATTCTTTATAAATTAATTGCTCACACTATTGTTATCCTTTTTCTTGGGGCAGAATCTGGTGATCCAGACAAGAAGTGTCGAATTTATGCCATTTCAACTGTCCCTCTGCGCGTTTTTGATGAGCACATCTTTCCTTTTATATGGAATCTTCAATTTCGATCCGTTTGTATACGTAAAGTTTCTTCCACGTCTATTAAATTTTATCCAACATACTTGTTATTGCCGACAATCTTGCAAATTAAAAAAATATATATATATATATATATATATGTGAATCAGCTCTCTTTTCGCCTCCATTTCAGGTCCCTAACGGAATTGGAACCGTATTAGGAGTAATACAATTACTTCTATTCGCGTACTATCAGAAGCCATTGAGGGAAGACTCTGTAGAACCATTAATAGTGTCTTACTCTACTGATGCATGAAAATGTAATCTTTTCTGTATTATTTAATCAGTGATCTATCAGATCCTGTCTACTTTATTACACTGAATATCTTAATGGAAAAGGTGCTATTTAAGTTTCGAGCTACATTCAGAATGATGATGCTTTTGTTATTTTTGTAGAACTGTTTTGCTTTGTCATGGTTAAACTTAAAGTTGCTTATATTGGCACTTGGCTGCATGAACTCTCCCTTATATCAATGTTCAATGTATTGTAAAGATAGCTATAGCAAATTGTGATTAAAATAACCAATTATAATAACATTAAGAAAAATTGCTTTAAATTATCTTTTTTATTGGTAATATATATACTTAGTTTATTGAATAATTAAGAATACAAATCTATCTATATATAAAAAGATTGTTGGTTAAATCCTTTTTGGAAACTTTTGACCAAATAAATAATACCTTTGACATTCTATTTATAGAAAGCTTAAAAACAATAATGGTGTAGTTTTTTTTTACTGAAAAAATCACAGTTTGAATTCAAAATTAATGGTGTAGAGATAATATTGGAACAATAATCTATGAATAACTCATGATGGAATCTGTGGATAATTAACTACTAATCTAAAAAGACTTTGATAAATCTTCACCAAACACTTATTTGATAAATCTGTGGATAACCAAACTATTAATTTAAAAAGATTTTGAAATGGCTAAACTTATGTATTAATATTGCAACCCAAGGAAAAAAAAGCATAAGTGAGCCCATTTATTTTCTTATACTAAAATAGAGAGATATTACCAAATATAATTTTTGTTTAATTTGATGGATAATACCAAATTATTCTAAATTTTCATAATGTACGCGAATATCATTTCAAATATTTAGATAATATCATTCTAACAATCTAATCATCTAATATCGAGATATTTTTTCACCTATTAAATTAACACTCAATTTGACTATAAAAATAACATACACACTCTGAGTTGTTATTATATCCCACTCATAAAAAAATCAAGCAAAACATAAAGAACAAATAGATAATCTGTATTGACAAGAAATCATGAAGACTCATCAGGCAAAACACCGTGAAAACTCTACGCAATCCAACTCTTTTAAAGGATAAATGTATCTTTTTCGAACAAAAAGATATTGAAAAATGATATTTTTGTTATTATGAGGTATTAAATTTTATGTGTATGAAAGTCGAAATTTAGGTTGTTTTGTTATAAAATCAAGGTAATATGTTTCTCAAATTTTAGCATATTTCTATAATAACTTGCCATAAAATATTAATGATAATTTGACAAAATGTATGTAGTCCTCTTGAAAATCATAAACATCTTTGAACAAATATTGGTTAATAAAATTTAAAAATTAACCGTCAACAACTCTAGAAAATTGTGAGATAATATGTATATAAGGGAATTTATATATAAGGGAATATACATATATATATATATATATATATGGAAATTTATCGTATAGTTCAAATTTGGGTTTCAAATTTAAAAGTCAAATAAATAATTATTCATAACTTACGTGTTAATAATAACTTAGGCATAAATGCAATAGTCAATTAATTATAGTTTAATAAATTACTCAACAACTTAATTTTATTTTTTTTTGATAGTTTATACAAAATTAAATTCATTTTAATTAATGAACAATATAAGTTTTATAATTGTATTTATTATTCACATAGATTTTTAAATATATGATAAAATTTTACCAAAAGAATTATTTTATGGAATGACATTGTAGTCCAATCGAATTTCTGAATATATATTTTAAAATGACACTTATTTTGAAATAAATATAATGTAATTTATTATCAGTTAGGTGCACCATACGGGTTATATACTAATTAAATTGACATGTTTTATGTAATTTTGCATGATATAAAATTCATATAACATTTTCAACAAATTAATATAAGTAAATATATTACATATTGATTCAATATTTTTAATTTATAAATATTATCTAATAATCATTTTTAATTTATAAATACTAATGAATATCTCTTACCCGTGCATCGCACGGGATTCGTACTAGTTGAAAGAATGTTATTAGTTTTATAAAATTAATATATGAAATATATTTATACTATATAAAATTAATTTGACCGGTCATATAATCTATTTGATATATTTGGCGAAAAAGTTATAAATTAACTCGTTTGTTCCAAAATTTATTCAAAAAATCTAACTTTAAATAAAATTCCAACTAAGAATTTTTCACAAATAGATGACTGAAAACTTTTTATAAATTGTAGTTTTGTATATTTTATTATTAATTATGTTTAGTATTAAGAAATATAAACAAATTTATAAAACTTATTGCTTAACTAATGTCGTCCTCATTTGTTACAAATTAAAATTTATATGGCAGTAGTATAATACTCGTGTAATATATAAAGATTTTAAAAATAAAAACAGAAGTTCTATTTTAATTTTTCAAATGCTCAATAAGAAAATGTATAATTACTTTTATTTAAAATTACAATTGTCACTCATATATTACATTTGAAACCATAATAATTTTAAATTACATTAGTTTAAGACTTGCTCATACTAGGTTATAATAATATCATAATATATTACAATTGTAATATCATAATATATGAATGTGGAATTTTACTGGTGAATGTGGAATTTCAAACGGGTAGTTATTGACTTCCACACAAATAGCTAGCGGTGCATGGATTGATAAATTTACTAGTGAAGGGGAGATTTTTTT